TATATTCCTCTGTATGTAGTATATTCCTCCATGCATATGAGGTTGTGCAGTCTTTCATATATCTATTCTGAATCTGTGTTATTTTTTCTTGAATACGTTTATGTAAAATATAGAAGTTTGTASAATTAACAGCATACTGTAAGCTTTGTAAAATTATATCAGTGTTTTGAGAAAAGAAAGCAGATAAATTATAAAACTGGGAATGCTATAAAACAAGCCATAAGGATCATAAACAAAGACACAGAGGATAAAGAAAAATACTTTCTTCCTTGGGTAACCTTCTGAATTTTCCAGTGTTAAAAAAAGGGAAGAGAAATCAAAGTAATACCATTTCAACTACGAGAGGTCAGGCTGATCTGATCAGCTGATACCAAGTGGCTTTGCTTGACTCTATTGACTTTGAATATAAAGGTATATTAGTTATATATACATAGGTATATAAAATAAATGTATTTATAATCCTAAAATGAATTACAAATAAACACCAAAAATTTTAATAATTTGTCATATTGCTTTCTTTTTTTTGTAATTTTGCTCCTACACTCTGAAGAAAACATATTCTTTCACTCTTAAATTGTACCCTTTGATGAAAAATCTCTCATCTATGGCATATTATTCCTTTGAGTATAGCTAATCCATCATCCRGCACTGCCCAACTAACTCCTGTGAACGGCTGGGGAGCTTCTATGAGTCCGCAAGCAATTCATCATAGACCTGCAGTGGCCTTGTCATAGTCAGGCAACACAGCTATCATGTAAGGGAGAGGCATCTTGTCATGATAAGTAAGATACTAAAGAAACTGAGGTCACTCAAAACTCTGTGACACTACTAGCTTCTACTAGTAAATGGTAACCGCGTTCCAGTAGGATTTCTGTGTGCAACAATTTCACAATTCTTTTTAAAGCAGCTTTTCATCTTTCATTTAATTTCAATTTAATTCATAATGCAATGTGGCTACCAACAAGCAAATACACATGCAGGCTAGTGAAGACATAAATACAAGTGCTAAAAAACATCTGTCTGACTCTTTTATACAACGGATTAGAAACAGGCATTTCCCTCTTTGTGAACAAAATACACCAAAAACAAAATACAACAAAAACAGAAACAGTTGTTTCTTCTGAAGCTGCTCTAAGCTAAAATCAAAAATGATTTTTTTATAAAAAGGACAGTTTCAGAAAAAAAAAAAAGGCTATTTCTGAGTTGTTAGGCAAAAAGATTTGATTTTCATGTCTGTTGGTTCAGTAAAAATCATTCAGTAGCAGTTCTATGGTCCTTAAAAGACTTTTAAGTGTCTTCTAAATAACAGTAGCATTCAAGAGAAAAAAGGAGAAATGTACATTACTGAACATCGAAAATACAAGAAAACTGTAATTTTGCACAAGAYATAAGGATTTCTCTGGAAAGTGTACTACGTCTAAGAGGACAATTGAAAAATATATACATWTTCTACACTGTTTGGAGTGTGTTTTAGTGTTTAGCAGTCCCTAATGTAAAACCTTCAAGCAGTTCTTCCTTCATCTACATGGAGGTCAGATAATCTAGCTTTGAAGGCTACACAAACTCAATGAAATCTATAACTTCTATGTTAATATGAGGAGTTGATTATTTTCATGCAGTCAGAGRGAAGAATCAATGAAGAAATACACGGCTTATTTTAAGTTGAGAGGCATAAAAAGTTGTTTCTTTGCACTTCATTCTTGAGTGACTTCCTATAACARTAAGTAGGGTCAATGTTATTGATTTGTGAAAATTTCATTTTAAATTACTCGATCTTAGAAATACAAGAGTTCTGAAGAAATCAGCTATCATTTGCAGCACCTCTGCTGCAGGTTTCCCTGTTGACAGAAGGGTCGGCTGCTCTACTAAAAATAACCAGGAAACTGCAAAAAGCAACACCAGCCGTCTGCACCAGAGCTGTGGCACTTCCATAGGATTAGTTCTCTCTCAGCCTCTTAACCTTAGGCCAGCTAAAAACAGCAACAACACAAAGATAGCAATTGTGGCAGACTATGGCATTTGCTGAGAAGCTGCAACAGCCAGGTGACCAGGTCCCTGAAATAATACCTCGAGAACAGCTGGAGGAGCTGACTGTAGCTCCAGTTGGCTGTTGCACTGACCAAGTGGGTCTGTCACTTCTGAGGTGCTGATGGAGCTCTCCTTCAGTTGCCATGAGTTGGCCAAAATTTCTCGTGCTCCTAAGTATTATGTCTTGGTTCACTTATAACTGGTCGGAATTAATTCACTATGACAAATGCCTGAGCAATGTCCATTGGAATTTCTAAGATCCCATGTATATTGGCCTTGTCACAGTCAGTGGAGGAAGTTACTAATGACTAGTTTCACCTTTTTTGATGAATATCTATATAATTATAGAAGATAGATATATAGATTATAGAAGAATATATATAGATATAAATATCTATCTATATATAGATAGATATATATTTATATATAGATATTTATATCTATATATAGATATTTATATCTATCTATATATAGATGAATATATGTATAGATGAATAAATATATATATATTTAGATGAATATCTATACATTTCTTTCTATATTTCTCTCTAGGCAGTTGTTTCAAAGAGACACTCCTAACGATATTATCTTTTCTAATGACAATAGCTATGTTCAGGACTATATTCATCTCACAAAAATTAAATTGAACAAATGGTTTTATCCACTTGTTATTGTTCCTTTCTCAATGTGATATCTAAGATTTGCTTCTGCTAGTGACAAAATAAATATATGCAGAAACGGAAAATATCCTCAGATCAGCAGAACATTACAGTTTGTCCCTTCTTTCACTTATRAATTCTTTCTTGCCTCTTTAGAAACACATTTTAAAACAACATTGTTTTCTCTGACTTTTAAATAAACCAATATTTGAGTGCTGAGTAGGAACCCCACTGTCAAAGCAAGTATGGTGTACTCAAATTACTCCTGCTGTACTTTAGCTTCAAAAATGTCTCTTGCAGACTGAATGCTTTGGAAATGTCACAGAGGAGAATTATCTCAAAATCTTACTGTAGTAGCAATATTTTGATGATTATTTAGATATTTTCTGATAATATTCCATTTGCCATGTSAGCTTCTGGGTATCATATAAACACTTAGCAATTTCAATTTACATGGACAATAAATTAGATATTGCAGTCTCTTTCATAAGGCAGTTTCCTACACAGCTATAATATCTTTCATTTGCATATGTGGTGAGAGCTTTGATTTGAAGTAAACAGCATTTTTGCAACTAGTTCAGCTACCTAATCATTCTGATTAGACAGTTTATATTCCACACACACTGAGGTTTACAATTACAATATGTAGTATGCATTGAAAAAAGAAAACATTGGTAGTAGAGAAATTCCCTTAGAAATGTAATTTGCTTTCTCTAACTACAAGTTKCAAAACAAAAGCTTGTGTTTTGTAGAATCCTCCTTAGAAATCTTAAGAGCTATAAAGCCTTATAGGCTATACCCCACTCTGAGATATTATTTCAATAGTATAATGAATAATATGTTTAGGCTACTTGAAAGTGGACAAGCCCTAATATTAAAAAAGACATGGAATGACCTGTAATTTTAAAAAGAAAAAAAAAAAGTCTTATTATCCTTTGCTTACTCTTTCCCTTTCATTGTAATACCTAGGGAGAGAAAAATGTCTTTCTTGATCCTGCCATAAAATATTACCTTTTTTTTGATATTGTGCTATTATTACRTACGATGCTCACTCTCAATTCAGCTTTGAGAAGTGATGGTTTTAGATAGAGTTGGTTAAGCTGTGAAACCTATGTTCTTTCCTGGCACTCTGGATCATGTATTCTCCCTCGTCTTTTCAATTAACCACAGTCTAAAAATCTGTTTTCACTGACAAGAACTTTGGTCTAAATTAAGAGATACTCAAGTGGAGATATACTGSTATTGTAGTTTGAACTAACTGGAGAACCTTAAGTATAACTTCACATGGCCTTTTCTCTGATGATAATCTAAAATGTAAAATAATTGCCAGTTTTAAAGACTTTAAGTATTAAATCCAATACTTACAAAACCATTCTTCATCTATTGTTTTAAGCATGGTCAATAAAAACATTACTGTATCATTATTTTTCTGTGTTTTTAAGAAAATTTTTTAAATTGTGATATACATTCAATGTGATTGTGGCTGTACACAATGAACAGCATGGCTAAATGTAACATTCTCACATACATAATAAAAATAATATTTATTTTGGACCAAATCTAATTGGCAAATTTGTTTGCAATTAAAATTGAGGAAGCCTAAGGAGATCAAAACTACAATATTTCAGCTCTAAAAGATAAACCTTTGAATAAAATGWCTATCTCATAATAGGAATTCTGAGCTAATTTTTTTTTTCTAATTCACCCTTACTAAGAGGATCTACTTTATTTTCAAGGACAAAGTTTAATTTAAAACCGAAAATAAGGAAGTCAACATATGCACTGGAAATAAAACACAAATATGGAATCAAGGATGCCACAATAATTTCTAWCCTGGAATTTGATTAGAGATACTAGAGAAATAAGAGGTAATAGACATATAACAAATAAATCGCATGGTTGATTCCTACTCGAATAACCTATACTCTTTGAGAACACAAACTTAATTTTAAATACACAAAACAGACCTGGCATAGAGGGGATCAAAAAGCAGTTACGATAAGTCAAAACATAAAGTGGAGTTAGGAATCTCTGAAGTTAGATCTAAAGAGAACATCTGCACAACACTGTTTGGAGAATATAGTAATTTTTGTTTGTTTGACACTTAAATATTGGAAGAATCTTTAAAAGCTTTTTTTTTTTTTTTTGACATTTCAGAGGAATTTGATGTTACAGAAAAATTTCAGAAGAATTTTCCAGGAAGGGGTGTAAAAGCTTCTCTGAAAAATTAGAATTAAAAAAAAAAAAAAAAAAAAAAGATATTTTACAAAGACACGGTGCTGAACTAAGGTACCTCGCAGATCTTTTGATTACCTTAATGAGAACTTGAACACGTCCTGTGGCTTTTGATGACATAAAGTACCAGAAGCTCATCACACAAGTCTTGCTTGACTCCCTCCACCTGGAACTCTTCACATGGGCTTTTTCATTTTCTAGGCCTATTGGAGTAGCTTCAAGATACAGGAATTGTCCTGAAATCAAATTATATGTTACTGAAAATTGTTTGGACTATCAAATTAGATTTCATGACCAAAACTCAACAAAATAAATGCAAGACATAAAATATGATTCCCATACACTTCATATATTAGCTGAATCTCCATTTAGGGTAAAACTCACCAGATTACTCTCCTTGCATGCTTTTTTACATCAGGAATAAGCAGAGTACAGCTCAAGAACTGGATGGACCCATGTAGAAGAGAGAGGATGAACATGTTTCTAGGTATTCTGATCATATATCCTTGTCCAACAATGTAAGCTTTTTTTTGACAGTACCTCATAGAATGTGAAAAATGTTGATCAATCCATATTTAGCACTAGAAAAATGAATTCTTTCATYTGAATCAAAAACACTTTTACAGTTGATTTTGGAAGGAAACCGGAGTGTGACAGTAGGACAAGACAGGGGAGTGACCCATGGGCACAGAATGCAGTGAACTCCAAAAGACCTACTGATCTGAGTCCAGCTCTGTGGGACACTGTGGAACTGTTTGCAGCCAGTCAGCCTTGGTTAGGAGATAATGAGGTAAATGACTTAATTCTGGCCAGAGTGATGTAATTTTGGTCATTAGCAAATTTTAGACATTTTAATACTGAAAAAATGATTGGGGCTCATTTGTTTCTTGACAAGCTTTTAATAGTCCTGTATGTATATCTAAAATAAACATTGGTTTTATTCTGTTTTGTCCTTCTACAGATAATGTAAGCATTCAATGATTATTAAAGACAGGCCCCACACCTTTGTGCAACTCTGCTGCAGAGTACTGCAACTTAAAGTCAGTTCAGAGCTCAGCTTTGGTACCATCTTTGGCTGGCCCATGGGAACTTCAAAGGCAGGATGATGAAAATATGGCAGCCTGGGGGAAGGACAAGAACAGACAGCTGGGTGCTCTGGTGAGGGCCAAGCAAGAGYTAGAGCTACGCTGTCATTAACCAGGAAGATTTATTTACTTAAAATTACCTAAAAGTGAACTATGAACAACCATTATGGTTGATTACAAAGTTCTGGATCAGTTTCTTAATTCGTAAATATTTTTTCAATCTCTCATTAGGACATGCTTCACACATGATTTAGCAACTCAAAGGTTTTTTTCAGCTAAAAGAGACACTTTTTGTTTTTATAAATCCTCTTTAACTGATTTTCAAGGAGAGATCAAAATATCTTATTGTCCTACAGGAAAGAAAAAAAAAAAAAAAAGCTTTTTATTATGGTTTAGATTTCTTTATCTAGATATCTTTCAAAATCAATAGAAACACATAAAATACTGTATGCCAATACAGATTTTCTTCTTATGTTCAGAATATTGTAGCATGAGCTGGGGCTTCCTGGAAGCACAATCAGACTCTGTTGGAGCAAAATCTAGTGGATCTCAGAGCTTACCTCCCTCATTCTTGCTGTGCATTGCCAGACTAAATGCAAATTTTCTTGCTTGACACATACAATGCTATTAAAGAAGAAACAACTGGGAATCATTTTTTTCCCAACTAAAGTCATTTTAGAACAGTAATTAATATTTTGATGCCGAATTACACATTTATTAAATATGACACCCAAATTAGATGTGTAGAACTGTTCTGTTGCCTCCTAAGGGAAGCCCGAGAAGCTCCATGAACACAATTACATCTTGCACGTAGCTGACCACATACCAGTCCTGTTTCCAAGTGTGTGATCCTTGGGAGGTCTCAGGCTTTGAGGCGAGCCGACCTCCAGCACCCAGTTGAAATTGTCTGACAGGGAATTCTGCCAGCCACATCTGCCCTTCTCAAAGGTGCAGGAAGTCCCACATTCACTCTCATCTGTATTATCCTCACAGTTGTCTACAAAATCGCAGCTTTGTTCTGGTCTGTAACACTTGCCGTTCTGACATTCCCAATAGCCATGTGAGCAGGGGCCTGAAAAGAGAAGAATAGGGCTATCCTGGTGAATCACATTCCGGCAAGGTTACTGCAAGGTTACAGCTGAGACAGTTTGATATTTAGGAGGAGGAGGGTGGTCCAGAGCAGTTTTATTAAAAGCCTTTGGTTCCCCTGAAGTGCCAATCCATTATCAGTTTATTTCTTTTGTATTTTGTCAAGAGATTGCCTAAATAAATGACTGTTTTCCTTGTAAAGCCTCTGAGGGCAAGTTCCAGCCAAGCATTCCTTCACTAACAAAGCCCTCTAGTCTGACTTAATTGCTGACATTCTCCTTTCATGTGGTGTAGGATTAAACCATTTCATTTCAGCTGCAAAGTTGAACTCAGTTTAGCAGCCCCAATTTGGAAGAAAAAGCTTTTATTTTAACCATAGAGGTTTGCCTTTTAATGCATTTTTTTCTTTTTTTTTTTTTTTGAACAGGATCAGTGGGGTGATGTTGTCCTTTTTTCCTTTTTTTTTTTTTTTTTTTTTTTTTTTTTTTTTTTCTTTTGGTATATTCCTGGTATTATTGAGGAATAATTCTGCTGTTGTGTAGCCTAAACATTGTAGGACTCATTTCACAGGATCCATTTCCAAGGTTCACATTTTCATTTCAGATCACTTTCTGCAGTGGTCTGGATATAAAGCAACCCCTTCAGTACATCCTCTAATCAGGAAGAAAGACAAACAAGAACTTAAATAACTCCCATCCTCCCCCATCATCTCCTCATTTTCCATTCTATTCTGCCAGAAATAAATGCACACACATCGATTTTATCTAGAAACTGGACTACCATCACATTAGCTTATCAAACATATGCACACATACATGTCATGTAAATACCATCAGAATTTAAATTAATTAGTACCACATGAGGCTAAAAATGTTGGTTTTCTACTGGAGCTATCCTAATTARTTAGAGAATCTGACAGAGATAAATGAGGCTGGTTTTCATTAAGGTCACAGAACAACAGGTTCATATTTTATTTTTTATTAAAAAATAAAATATGCGACAGTGCACTCAGTTGGAGTGCTGGCAACCTCCATTTCTGGAACTCTGTGTATATAAATTACAAATGGACTAAACAGAGTGAAAGAGTATTGTCATGCCTTATGCTGTAGACTTTGGACGAAATAAAAACAAGCCTTGAATCACTAGATCACAGGAAAAGAAAACAGAGCTTAGTACTTTAGCTCTCTTTTTTTTCTTCCTAATATAGACTTATTTTTCACAAAAACATGAAGCATTAGAAAGTCACAGAAATATCTATTCTATCTATTTTTCAGGGAAATTCTTCATTTTCATTTTATGACCTCTTAATAGTACAAAAGCATGTATCATGTTCGCTCTGAAAGACCATATATCATTTGGCTTCGAACAATYCCTTAGAGAGAATGAGCAAAATTCCTGAATGGAAAGGAGTCYGCCAGAATAGAGCACTGATAATGACTGAGAGGAGTGTAGGGCATCGGACAACAGCCTCCACAATTGGATACGAAATTCTTCTAGTGACCAGAAGCTTCTAATTCTGACTAGAAAATGGGAAACCATATGAAGATCACAGTTACAAGTGTATGAAAACTGTTTTTCAGGAGCAAATCTGAAAATGGTCTTTGCCAAAATAATGGATTAATCACACAGATATACCAGTTAGTGTCTAATTACCAAAGCCTTAAAAACAATTGGAGTGGAGCCTTCAGAAAATACTCCTCTCTATCAATCTTAACGCTAACTGCAAATTACATAGGAAAGCTATTACCGGAGATATCTGACAGTCATCTCCATTCAGTTGTTATTATACTGGCAAGCAGGCACTATGTATATCACAAACATTTGGAGAGAACTACTCTTCAGAATTTCAACTATCTGTTTGGTTTTTCAGGCAAAGATATATATTTTCTATAACATATACATCTGCCTAATATAGATGGCATCTGTTTTCAGAAGCTAGTTATAATAACCTTTGGATTCCCTTTATATGAGATTGCCATGAGAATTTAAACATAAATTTTCTTAGAAAACTACTAATTTAAACTCTAGGATACAGCCTCTGTTTGGGCATACTTTTGATGCTCTTTATCGTGAACAATAATTGCAATAATTTCCCTACACCATTTTAAAGTCCCTCTGTCCCTCTGCAGAGGGTCTTTGCTTTCAATTTCATGTTGAAAAACATGGAGTTGAAAAGTGGAACTCTCTGTTAGCTGAGGAAAAAGAAAAATCCATCTTGAATCCTGGCATGAATGAACCCTTTCAAGCATGTGTAATGAATGATATTACACTGTCTAACTGAGTTGGTCAACGTGACTTGTTTCTATATGTACTTCCATAGTATACCTTCTGTTCAAACGCCGTACTTCTAAGGCTTTGTAACTCATTTGCAAAAAAAAAAAAAAAAAGTCTTTTGAGCTCTCCTCCTTTCCTTCCTTTTTCCCAATACTAACAATGCAAACATAGATGCTTTGTGATGACACTGTATAATACAAACCAAGCTTTGTGGGCATTGTAGGGTTATTTAATTGAGAGGAATGTCTCATCAGCAAGGCTGAGTTATTTTCCTCCATGCTATGTTTCTTAAATCATTAGCAGGTAAAAATTTTGCCCTCTGTGATAACTGCATCAAAACTCTGGGCTGTAAAGGACCCAAAGGAATTATWAGTGTCTTTCAAATCAATAATCTCTGAATTGAGGAGGATTTACACAATAGGAAAAAACAGCCTCATCAGTCAATTATTTTGAATATCCTCAATAAAATCAACAGAGGGAACACTTATATTTTAAAATACATAATTAGGACAAGGATTAATAATCTTTATTTTAAAGATAATGCTTTTAAGTATATTGCTTGGAAAAATTAGCACCTATGAATATTAACAGATAGAACAATCTTACAAGCAGATGATGGTTTATCTTCTACATTAATGAGATTTTAAAAAATAGTAATGAAGATAACATGAAATACAGCTTGCAGCACTGAGACAGAACAGAAATAAATTTCAGAAAGGAGGTGCACATTAAGAATCAGCATCTATGTGTGTTATTCACATAACTGTATAACTTGGACAAGATTAGCTGTGTTCTCAAATACTTCCAGAGAGGAATTTTCCAGGAGATAAAAATGATTCTTTAATCTTTGGAATCAGCCTACATCTCAACAGGGTTTTCCTGTGAGTTAGCTCCTTTTTTTACCACTCTAAGTCACAGTACTAAATGCACTGCTCATTTTGGTCCTCTCTGAGCAATATTCTGCCTTGTCCTCTGGCAGAAGGCACCCATTTTGAGCTAGTCCATAAAAAGAATTTCACTTCATACAAATGCTTCCTAAGAATATATAATTATGAGAGGAACTAGCTGGAAAATTCATATAGATCCTTGGAAACAATCTATTTTGTTCACTAAAGTCATCTTTTCACTCCCCTCATTTTATTACTGCAGACAGATCTATTGGCAGGATGCTCTTGCCAAATAAGAAAAGTCTAAAGGTTCAAATGTAGCCATCTGTGGCTACAAAGATTATCTGTATYTTTCCTCTCTGTAAACCTTCAGAAAGAAGTAGCAGTAAAATAAATTCTCCATTGGAGGGATCATCACCCAGGCAAAGCTAATCATCACTAGAACTGAATTTCATTGGCAGCAGAGTTCAAAGGACTTGTGGAATATTAGAATATTTCACATAGAATATTAGAATATTAGAGGAATAATCTAGTCCAATTCTAAGTGCCCACAGATTATATTTTGGCACATTCACATCGTGGCTTAAACTCAGAACCTATCTTCACTTTAGATTTGTCATGTATAAACCCAGCACAGAATCAGTGGTATAAATCACATATACTTTATGGCATTGCTTGAGTATTGTACATCTACTTCATCTATAAAAGAAGAAAATCAAAAATGATTTATGTGTATTATCTGTTGACGATAACTAATAATTCTGAATGTTAACCTTAAAGRAAATTGTTATGGAATATCTCAATACATATCATTATTATATTATATATAGTATTATTAACATTATGAGAGYTATATACTAATATAAATTATATTAAATTATCAGTTATTTTTATATTAAATTATTAATTATTATATTATAGAACAATGTGGATTATAAATATTATATGAATTATATATTAATTGTATTATATATGTTATATTACAATTATTATAATATAATTGTAGGCAGGAAGCTTGGACTAGATATCTCTAGAGGTCCCTTCTAACCCTAACCATTCTGTGATTATGCGATTCTATATTTTTGGTTATGTTTAGATAGAATTCAAGTGCAAAAGAACTTCTAGAACTCCTATAAATACCATGTAAGAGAATTTTTATTTTAAAAAAACCCACTATTTAAACATCACTTTGTTCAAATTCTTTAGCCATACTTGATTAAGAATCAGATGGAGGAAGAAGCCCAAAACTGATCAAAGTMGGTCTTTTGCCCCCTGTGACCCTTTCATCTCTCACTGCTCAGGAGGAATAAGTTTCAAGATTGCTGCAAATACCATATAATATTACAGAACTTTTCATCTGTCTTAGATAGAATGCTATAGTGTGTTGAAGAAAATATGATGTTTAAAAGATTTTGTACTCTTGATCAGCCTCCTGTGCACTTTTGTGCCTCCAGTGGAAAGGTCAATTTGAAAATGAAAGATATCTCATGCTTGCTGGAAGGAAAAGATATTAACAAACTCTTAAACATTCAATAGTGCAAAGAAATAGATAGCTTTTAATATGGTAATCTTTTAACTTTCTACTGCATTCCAGATATGTTTATTTTTAATCAACAAAATCAAAATATTTTATCAGAATAAAAATCAAAAAAAAAAGAAAAATCAAAGAGAAGTAGATGAAAAACACCTCAATAAAGTCACATATGTACATTAGGTGGAACAATGTCAGTACCGAACATTGCATTTGGCCCCTATATACTACAAATGTCCTTAATACTGTCAGTACCTCCTAAAATTAAATCATTCTGGCTCTTGTGTTTCT